AGTGAAACTCCGCAGACAAGGAAAGCAGATCTGAAATTAGCTCCCTAAACATCATCTGTCATATTGAAGAGCCACTTCGATTTTATGTACTCCCTTAATTGCTTATTTGCGGAACTAGGATGGGCTTTTGGTACAAGCAGAGAACAAGCTTTTTATTAACCGTTTCTTTTGAGACCTTTCTCGGGTAAATTGTCTGCGTAGAGTTTCAATACGTAGAACAAAATAAATAAGTAAGAGATTTGCTTCATATACTTTCCATATATGTAATCCAACTTATCTACTCTATTGTTTAATGGGGTCTCAAGAACGATGAAAAACCCTTTTTTCATGACTTCATAAGAAAAAATATACTTTGATCACTCCAGTACTGTCTGTCAAAGCTGCGTTATCAACAGAAAGAAATTGAAATTTAGCAAAGAAAAAGCAAAGAAAACGAATAGTTTAGCTTTTCTATCCTGCATTCCTTACCTAATTATGGGCTTTTGTTTGTTATTATAGTCTCATTGTTGTGAATTGAATTAAATGATGAAAAGCTCGCATTTTGCAATAATATTTTGATTTTTCAGGCATATATTTGTAGCCAGTATATAGTTAGATTAAATTTGAATTGCTCGATCAGATCAAATTTCAATCGCAGTCCCGCAATTCACATGATTGTTCACTCAAAGATAGCAAAGCACAGTAATTGTCTGTGAACGTTATTTTCAACTACGAATCCCAGCAAAGACACTTTAAGGTTGCCACATTTATAAAAGAAACCTTTCTTAAGCTGTTGTATGCATTCAAAGCCCCATGCACTTTATTGCAGAAAAATAAGCCATTTTTTGAGTTAATATAATTGTTTATGTTCGGCAATTAGTGGATCCGAGCAGCTCAATGATCTTCTTAATTTCAAAATTTTTTTAGAGATATGTTCAGAAGGGAGGCAGTAGGTGTTTTTTTTTTTTGAGAAATGCGAATAAGGCAGAGAACTCTACTAAATGAAGCCGAAAGTTTAGCAATAGTTTGAAATTATCCAGAAAGTACACGCAAAACTGTTAGTTATTGACTTGCGCTAGAGGGTTTTTAAAGCTTCTACCTACAGAAACATATAGGGGCAATCATTTAGGAAAACTCTAGAATTTTAAAAAATGGCCTCTGTCCTGCTAGCCATTTCCACAGACAATATCTTCCTTCGAAAAAATGTCATTAGGAAATAAAAGTTTTTCCTTATCCATTCACTTCA